ATTTCAGTACCGAGTTGTTCTTATTTCGTAACAGTTTCGAGTAAGTATAGTTTAGTAATTGTTAGAGGATTTAAGTTATATTATATGCTTTTCAGATTTAGAAACCATACTGATCTGAAATTGTTAGAATAATTATAAGGTCAAACGTGTGTATGTATGCTATCAGTATACTTGAGTCTCAGTATTAATAGGTAATTGATGCATGTGGTCTTTAAATACATTACGTAACTATCATACAATAAGTTCATATGTTCTACTGTGACTGTCAGGAGGCTTAAATTTTACGTTAACTCGACGATTTAACGTATATATGCTTTGTCGTTTGAAATTAAATTTTGACAAAAGTAATCATTAACATTCTGACTACCAAAAACTTTGTAATTATGGAAGTTATTCATTTTCTGTTATCACAACTAAATTCTCATTTTTCTCAATACATTTAGTTTACTAATGATTAGGACAGTTCACATCATGAATTTAACTGTAGTTAACAATGACTCTGAAATTTAGTCAGGTCTATTTTTGGTGCATCGATAAAATCTGCTATAATTATTAATTGAAATTTACGAGAATTTTTTAAACATCCATAGAATCAAAAGTTGGCAATGTTGATTTAAGCTATTCACTGATAACAAACAACTAACATGTGTAGAATATAACAGTCTTCTGGTGATTTATGAATGAAATGATTTTTTCGGACATTTTGTTGAACTAAATCCTTTTAATAGTCTAAACAAGTGTTGATTACTAAGCGTCTTTATGATAGCTTCTATGCATTTTCCTTCAACTGTTCAATTTTATTTATATTTTTTTATAATAAGAATCTGATCGAATTCCATTGATCAGTTGATGACAGATGGAACAGGTTTGAATCTATGCTGAGATTAATTTCACTGAAGTTAGAATTTCAAGCCAATTACACAAAATACATTGTGATTTTAAGTCAATTAATTTAAAAACTTCACTGAACATTCACTCAATAGGATTCAGTCAATATTCTAAAAAATGCACATGACATAAACATGTCAATGTTATTTCAAGTTACACTAAACTATTATTATAACGCGTATTAAAAATATGACAAAAATTTGAATTTATAAAATGGTCATCATCCATTCCGAAATATAATAAACATTAAAAGATTTAATAGTTGAATTCATGAGTCGATTAAAGCTAAACTACCATGGAAAATCTGGAAGCATTAGACAGCTGTTTCGTCCTACTATGGGACTCCTCAGAAGTGCACATCCATGAACTCTCACTCTAGAAGATTATTAAAACTACTAAAAATCTGGTAGAAATAAGATTAAAAAAACCATAATGTTTCCCAATTACTGAAAACTTTCTAGGGATCGGTTGCAAAAATATATCCAATGTTTCATATGCTTTTTTATTGTTATGATAATGAAGGAACAGTGAAGTTTGAGACAATCGATGGAGGATTTGCAAATAAAATATTGAATGCATGGTTTTCACATCTGACGAAAGAACTCTATGATTTTGTATTAAACTATAATTGGTTGCTCCCATCTGTCTTTTCCTTCGTTACATTAGTAGTAGTAATGATTATATCTATAAATGCACCTTTGAAATAATTCTTTCTTTTTGCAATAAATTAATAGCTAGATATCACCAGATCAATGTCTACAGGAGATTAAGTTTTGAACATTGTTCTAGATCCAGAATAATAAATGATTTATAAGTTGTAAAGCATGTGGAGCAAATATAATTCTTACTTGATTGACCAGTAACAGTAGCTGTCATATTCAAATAGACCAACTTGAATATTTTTTAAATGAATATTTCGATTCCACTGCCTACAAAATGTTCTAATGAAAATGGACTAAATTAAATGATCTTGTATTAATCTCATATTAATCAAATACAATGGGCTAGACGGTCTTTATAAGATCTTTTTAGGGGTTTTTTTAGTAAAGACCTTTTTACATTCAGAACAATCAATGACAGTATAAATTCTATTGAACATATTCCTGAGATAATTGATGCATCAAACAGATCATCAGGTAATCGCTCAGGTATTAAATGTATTAATGTTATAAACAAACATGTTACTGTACACAAGCTATGAGGAATCATGTCTAAAGCAATTATTAAGATAATCACCATTTTAATCACTTGTATATTCATACATATACACGATGTTTAAGTAATTTTTCGTAAAGAGAGGTTTCTGAAAAGTTGCTTCCAACGTTGTTTACAATACTCTATTCATTAAACAACAAATAGTTTTTGTCAATAATTCATTTTTTTTTTCAGTTCTAATTAACAGACTTATTATGTCTGTTTAGTTATTTGTTCCATATCTCGTACGTTGATTTATTGAATGATTAGAATATTTATTTGTATTTTTGCCTATTTTTAAATGAAAAACTATTCAGTCACTTTCTTTTTATTCAAAAAATTTTGATTTATTTACTATGATTGTTTTGTGGAAATGTGAAGTCGAACAGTTATATGATATTGTAAACTGAATGAAACTTAAGATAATACAATGCAGTTACTTAAAGGTAGCATGTTCGGTACGAAACCTAAATATTTTGATCTCAATTGCTAGTAGGGTAGGATATTTCCATTGCTGAAAGATCTCAAATGGTTCACCGGTTGATATTAGTCTGTGAAGTAGATTCACTACAACAAAATAATAATAAATAAAGTCAATTATACTTCTCGATTCTTAACAATATGAGTTAAAAACATTATATTTGTCAAATATTTTCTGACTAACAAAAACACAGTCTGAATCATGTTTATACATGATTTATTATTATTTGTTAAGGTTCCCTTTAATAATGAAAAAACCCCAGCTTCCTGTAATAAATCATCAATCTGATTCATTGTCTAATCCTATTTTAGGACTGAAACTTTCTTCACATCGTTTGATATTAGTTATCAAAATAATAAAAATGACTGACATCATAATTAACTACGAAACAATAATGTTAAAATAGTTGAATCTATTAAACAGATATAACATTCTGATCCTATTCATGTACGTCATAATTTAATAATCAATCGTTAATCTTTTTCTTGTTTGGAGCTACAGAGATAGATTAAATGTGTGACTAAGTGGTACAAATGTGTATATTTAAATATTTGGTAAAATATTAGTTTATCATAAGCAGATTGTATGATGTCTGGTAGTGGATTCCAAGACGCGTGTTTCATCCCAGTTGGGACTCGTCAGAACGATGTGATTCCATCTTAGAGTTGATGTTCACTCCGAGACTCGAACCCACTACCGTTCATTTCAAACGCCATCACATTATCTACTTAGCTACTGAGTCCAGGTAGCCATTAGCTTGCCCAATCGGGTGAAGTTTCATTCGATTTCGATTAGTTGTTTGAATCTTTCCATGGATATTTAGGGCTGCAATTGATCAATCTCTAGAAGCGAACGGTAATGGGTTCGAGTTCCGAAGTGAACTTCAACTCTGAAATGCAGGTACATCCAGCTGACAAGTCCCAAGTAGGACGAAACGCACGTCCTGGATTTTACTGTCAGCCACCATTCATCTTTGTTTATAATGTTTGTGATTTAAGACAATATGGAGAAAATCCGCACCGGATGCACATTTACCAATAAAAGACTGATCAATTTCAGTCCTAAACGTAAATGGGGAGATTCAAACAACCGACAAAAAATGTATTAAAATATCAGGTAATAGTTTTAGGTAATAGTTTTCAAGTAATAAAATAACTTAGCTGACCAGGGAGTTGTGGATCACTATTTCGTACCATTACGGAACTCCTCAGCAGTTAACTCTATTCAGTTCGTGATATAAGCATTATTCAAAATGAAAAATTTTCATAAAGTTTCCATCCCAATAATCTAATTTTAGTTTATTAATATAAAAATTAAATATGTTCCATTATTATACAATTTACAAACTAACTTAATGAAATTGATGTCTAACCAGACAAATTATAGGTGATAACTTTTTTTTTAGAAATTCTAGTGATTCTTGTGATGATCAGCTTACTCTTTGGATTTATAAAGTTTGAAAAATAAATAGATTTTAAACACTATTAAAATAGTTACTGAACACGAACCAGTAGGATATAAACGAAATGACTACATCTTATTTATAAGACTTATAACTGTAGGTAGTCTTGAATTAGAACAAATAGTGATTATATCTGTTTACTATTAAGTAGACGAATATGCCGAACATGTAAGAGTTTCTGTGTATCATCGAATTCCTTCAAACATTAGCGTGCGAATAATCTATAGAGTAAAGCGTTGGTGATTTATAGTTAAGTGACTTATTAATCTATGCTTAAAATAATTTAGATGTTGGAGTCAGGTTCGTGGATAATATGTCAGTTATTCGGACACAGGTTTAAATGACGTATAACTAAATAAAACAGTAAGTTATCTGTACTAGTAAGATTTTTCAAACCTATATAAATGCAACAATCTAGACAAATAACATTTCTGCTAAAAACAATGGAATGTTCTAATCATAGGAATTTACAATCTAAAACTGTATAACAGCACAAGTGATTGATAAGATTAGTATCATGACTGAATTGATTGAAATAATAATTTATTTACAAAACCTAATATCATATATTCTGAGTGGATATTTATCAGAATATATATACATGGCTTTTAAGTAATACCTTTAAAACATTTAGTCAGGACAGAATGTTTTTGTCAGACAATGAATGAATAAACAAGATTGAAAATGAAGGTCACAGTTAACCAATCATTTTTCATTTCTGTTCCTTATATCTCTTAGTAACTCACTTTCAGTTAACTTTTTAAAAAAATCAAATATCGTACCATCTTTTGTGACTTAGCTGGTAAATATGATAATTATACAAGAAGTCAATATGTATTCGAATTTTACAAAAAAAAAATTACCTGAAACTATCAAGTTCAACCTTGGTATTGATATTTATAAACAATAGTGGATTATTTATTCTAATTAATCAGTATTATAGATATTCATATATATGGTTTTTCATCATTTCAGGTTATTTAATTAATCTTAGAATATTAATATTGGATACAAATGAATTGCATAGTCTACCGTCTGAAATTGGTTCATTAACACAATTAGAAAAATTATCTGCATCAAATAATCAACTGAAAAGTCTACCTACATCAATGGAGAGATTAAAGCAAATGAAAAGTCTACATTTGGCGAATAATTTAGTAATAGCAAGATTTTTTTTAAATATAACATTTTATGTTGGGTTGTTCTGTATATTTAACTATTTATTTTCATACTATTTACTACTACCACTAGTATTACTATTACTACGACTATTAAAATAAAGTAACCAGGATATGAAATGGCTGGATTGCATTTGAAAAAAGCTTTAAATCTAGGTCATTCACTAGTTGCTATCGGAATTTTTAATATATATTTTGCTAATAACAGGAGATAATAACTGCAATTACGATTAGTATTTTATTTAAATTGATGAATAATGATATAAAAACACTGTAGTTATTGAACAAGTTGGTATTTATCTAGACTCAGTAACTCATTTGTTAATGCTTTGGTGTTTGAAATTGAATGTACTGAGTTCTGGTCTTATTGCGATAATAAACACCGGAATATAAGCTCATCCCACTGATGAGTCCCAAATAAGATTAAAAATCTTGAATTTCACTTGCACAATCAACGTATTCTAAAAATTTAAAACTAAAATATCATGAAAATATCACGTAAAGCAAAAATTAAGATTGAATAAATGTTTCAGGATCTTAGTTGAAACTAAACCATCATGAAAAACCTGGAAGCACTGGACGGTCGTTTCGTCCTAGTATGGGACTCCTCAGCAGTGCGCATCCACGGTCCCGCACTCCGTGAAATTCGAACCCAGGACCTATCAGTCTCACGCCAGGCGTTTAACCAACTGGACCACTGAGCTGGCATCCAACGGTGGTTAAGTGAAATTTCTAAAATCACCACAAAACCTCTTCTGTTTCAGGATCTATCTAACAAAAAATTAACCTTTGATTACTAATGTCTACTTTTGAGATGAATTTATGAATTTCTAATAAAATTGGTGGATTATAGAATCAATTTTCTTTGAAATGAAGCAGTTATCACTGTCATTACCAAACTATCATCTCTATAGGATGTGTATCCATGACCCTAAAAATAATGTACATACTGTAAGTACTTTAAAACTTGTATTTAAAGTCCTACCTAAAGATAAAATAATTGTCCACTATTCTTTAATTTCAATTCATTTTTTTCAGTTTAATTACATAATGAAAAATATCATTTAACTAGATAACCTATAACAGTTTATAATTACACTCTGGTTAACATATGAGAAAATTTAATTTAGTATTTTAATGAAAATTAAATTTATTATGTAGACATAATAAAAATTAAAAAAATTCAAATGATCAACTAATGACTCATGTATCAATCCTAGTCTACTATTAGGTGAACACCCTAGACTACTACTATTACTACTACTTATTGTAAATAATAGTTTTATTTTTCACGTCACAAAATAATTGATCATTTTAAATAATATCAGTCATTGATAGATGACTTATGTATTTAATATTAGATGGCCTGGATATTATCAGTTATCATATTAGAACAATTAATTGAACATTTATTTATATCATCAAATTTAATTCGAATTATTAAATTAATTAAATTATATAACAACAGTGATAATTTAGCTTTTACTATTAAAAATCTATACTTGTTTCATCTTTGTTTGGTGTGTAATTCTTTGGTTTCAAATAATGGTTATGGTCCATTGAAATGTCATTAAAACAGTTAATAATAATAATTTATATTCTGAAAATAATAATTACAGAATTCACGCCAGTTTACAGGCATGATCAATTTGATATAAACAGTAACGTTAGACGTGCAGAACAAACATGTGATAAAAGAAAGTTTTAAGTGTACTAGTTCAGTGAGTGTTTAGGTAGTACATGTATTACAGCGATCCAATGCATCAGCCGGGAATTTTTAATATTTCTTAAATGGACAGCCTGTTGATTTATTAACGGAGTAATTAAGGTCAATTTGTGTGCCAGATCGAATTAATAATAATTATCTACAACTAGAGAAATTAAAACAAAAACACAGAGCACGGAAAAACAAAGCAGTAATTACCAAAATATATGAATCAGGTCTACCTAAATGCGTGTGTCATGTGACACAGTGATATACTGTTTATGTTATTCAAATTAGTTAAACTTGCTAGGGACGGCGTTAACATATTGACAGCAAGTGGGTGGTTTTACTTAGGGGATTCACTAATAAAGATGGTTAAACATTTAAAGTTCCTAAAATATACTTGTGGAATGAGATACACTTGCAGGTGCTAGACCATTACTAGACTAATTAAATTTACAAGGTTATTTCCGTAAATATAAATAAACATTTACCATGTGTGACATTATTACTGATCCGGCCAAAAAATGTTGATCGTTGTTAACAAAGTGATAAGCGATTGAAAGGAATCACTTAATAGGGTTTAGTAAATAAGGGAGCATTTTACAAATATGCATTCCTAGTATGAAACTTTTCATTACAGTCATCTAATCCTCAATGGTGCTGAAATTAATTTCAGTAGATAATAAATATCAGGTACATTTTCTATTAGCCATTTTCGGTAAAGGTATATTGCTTTTGCATGGTCAATTTTATCGCTACTTGCCCCCAGATGCCCTGGTACGGCCGAGGGTGGGGAGAGTCAGCTCTCCCTCTCGAAGTGCTCTCACGCGGCCACACGCATACAGCCACTGCTAGGGAAGTCCTACTCACTGCCTCCTCGCACCGGGGGCGTCGTTTACGAAGTTGAGAGGACGAAAAGCGAATGTTCGGGGCTCTAACTGGGTTGGTGGACACGGAGGGTCCACCTAGGACAAGGTATGGGCTTAAGAATCCTGAGGGGACAAAATGTGAATGAACCTATTGTCGGTCACTGGCTACCATAGGACTGCATCTCCTGACGTTGCTCCACTGCCTAGTGGATCAGATCTTTAGGTCGAAGGCTCCGGGTGTGGCTCCCTAAGAAAACCACCTGCTTCGGTCTGGGCAGCCCTCATACAAACCGAATGATTTATGTGGAGCATATCTATTTGGTGCCTTCTTGTACCAATATTTGTGTTTTGATAAATAAATAAAATAAATTTTATCGCTAAACACATAATAGAATCAGACAGAAGAGGGAGTTTTAAAAAATTATACACACTTCTAATCTTCAGGGACAATTGAATATATTATCACTTGTGTAGTTATTTCTATCTAAAATTGGCAAACAAATAATTTTGTTAATGCTTATAAATTTCTCATAATTTCCGTTGATAAACTGTGAAATATTTTATTCCTATTTCGGGTAGTTTAACGTTGATACATCGAACTTTAATCATTCATAATGTCATATTTAGTTTCAGAAACAACGTGAACTTCTTTGAACTTGTGAATAGTATGAGTAAATAAACCACAAAGAATTCATACTTTCTTGTCGTTTACCTTGCATAATCAAGCAATGGATCATGCGTAAAGATCTTCTTAGAGTTCAAACTATCACAATATTTCTACAACATAATTCCCATCCAATGTATTTTTTTAAATTTGATAATGTGCTAAAAGCATTTTCGTAAAACTAATGTTCTATCGAAAGGTCTATTATATGTCTGTATACCATTCTAAGTAAAAAAGTCGATCGTGTGCGTTAAAACTAGAATGAAAAAAAACAGGTAAACAATCAGTTACCGACGCTTCACACTAATTATTAATTGAATCTATCTATACTTTAAAACTAATAATGTTAATTGGTTTTTTATTACCCACTTAAAATATGATGACACATCATTCAAATAATCAATACTTCAATGTGTTAAAACCGTTTTTCTAGCCTAGTGTTCCAAATCGACCAACTACACGCCCGACTAGTACTACTAATCATGAGCCGACGCAGATAAGTTCTTGTTGATCGGTTATTCGCAAGCTTCTCTCTATTCCCAAAAGTTAGCAATCAGCCTCTACAACATTTATATTATAAACAGATGTGGTTTGCATACAGATATACCGGACCTACTCACACCATAAAATGAATAATAATTATCATACATTAAAAAAAGCCAAAAGTGGCTATGAATAGGGAAGACTGTAAGTTATAGACAGGCAACAAATCGGGAATAGTAAGTCGTGTGATAGTAGTTAATGGGTTAACAAAAAGCTTTTGATAAACAGAATACATAGACATGATAATCTAGTTACTCAGTAATTATACAATACGAATATAAATAACAACACCTAAATTAGTTGTCGGAGTTACCATTCCTTCAATCTTCGTTCTGATATCATAACTTGTTTTTATCATGTATATAATTTTTAAAAAAACTGATTGATTGATGCAGTAACGAATTATAATGAGTTCAGATAATGATTGTCAATAAAACTGAACTTGGTAACCTTTACATTCGAATGATGACTGTCAGTATAAATCACAAATAAATAATATTATAACAAGTTAGAATCATTTACTATTCGCATATTATACTGTAAGGGAACTATTATTTTTGTAACAAAAAATGTAACGCAACATAGATTGGATAGGAGTTATCCTTCAAATACAAAGTAGCACATAGAATCTCTCTTCGTTGGCAGTGTTCGAGGGGTAATGGACGGTAATATTATGATCATAATCTATATCGTGAAGATAGTATTCTTCGCACAAGTATTTTTAAGTTATTTCTCGTCGGGTGACTAATTACTTGAGTCCATTTTCTTTGGATTTCCAGTATTTTAAAAGAATGCTGAACACACGCATTCGGAGGGCATTTCTGCTAGGGTAGAGAAATACTTGATTAGGAATACCAATGGTCATTAAGCAACCAATCACTTTTCACAGTGTAGCCTAAACTTCCGACTATTTTATTATTGCAAGCCATAAAAAAAGCTTTAAACTATGTATTTTGTTAAATTAACTCCTCCTTGTTTTTTTTTACCTAACTTAAAAAAACTAATAACCACAGTTCGCTGAATTTCCTAAACCAATATTGAAATTAACGAAGTTGGAGTTCTTAGATTTAAGTAGTAATCATTTGGAAACTTTACCATCATCTATAACTGAATTAATCAATTTAGAAAGTTTATTATTATTCGACAATCGTTTGACCAGTTTACCAGAGGATATTGGTGAATTACGAAATATAAGATGTTTATGGTTGGGTGATAACAGACTGGAAAGTTTGCCACAATCAATTGTTGAACTACGTGGATTGATATGGTCACCATTATTATCACCAAGTACAACAGTTGGTGGAAACCCTTTAAAAGATCCACCGATTAAAGTAAGTGTTTTTATTGAATTCCTATTAAATACTTCTGTATAATGGGTGAGATATGTACACTTTCCTGATGTTCACATGATAGTACAATATTTTTTTCGAAGGAATATGAACTACATATTAGATGATGTAGCAGTATTCAAGGGGAAACTGCTTGAAACCGGTCAAAACACTATCATATGTTCCTAAACCTTATAGAACCCAGAATTCGTAGAACAATGTAATATATTTATGCTTTCCGTGGTCAGGGAAGATTTAGTAAACTACCTCCGACATTCAAATCTCTTCTTTATTACTTGGATATCTACTTTCTGATTATTTACACATTTCACCTTATAGTGTTGTATAATTTTCGATTACAATGGTCGTCTTCTTTAATAAGTTTTTCCTCCGAATTTCAACCTCCCTTATCACAATACTTACAACTGTTTCTTTTATTTATTATTAGTTGTATAGTCTACATAACCGTTATCACCGATGGATGACATTATTAAAAAAGATCTTTTGCTCCTCTGAACAATTTCATTAAACCTTGAAACTAATCACACTTATATAGGTACATCCAGGCATTTATCCTAGTAAAAAAACGATGTTTAACTTCTGAAATGAAGATGAGTATGATGTGAAAATTTACCGTTTCATCTGTAATGAAGATAATTTTTAGGAATTTGTCAACTTTATTTTTAGTATTTTCAATATTTAAAGCTAAGGTTATTGATAATGAGATAACTGGGAGTTAGGTTAGATGAATTTATGCTCATATATATTGTGCATGTAACATAATGTTTTAAGAAATAAAGATTTCCACTCGAATATATAATATCGTAAAGAAGTACTATCCAGATTTATTTGAAATACTATGACTTTAAACAATGATGTACCAACAAAAATTTATCATTATATTTCAGGTATGCAGTGCAGGACTAGAAGAACTGGATAGATATTTCGGTGTGGAAATAATTAAATGAATCTACGCGTGCAAACAAAAAGAATTCTGTAACAATTATACACCATAAATGACTAGTACTTATCTAGACAAAATTCATTTCTCAGTTGAACATGATAAACAATTTATTGATATTTTCAATGATATATATATGCTACTCACTTGTCGAAATTATGCTTACTAACAAGACTATGAATACGCACTGAATAGCAATCTAGCTAAATTTCGCATATCTCACTAGACGTGTTTTTGATGACTACACCATAATAGTCAGTAGCTATGTGTAACGACGTAAGTTTGGATTAAGTCAATAGGAACATAAGTTATTCTGTGTGGTGTTTCATCATAAGTAATTACCATTAATTTTAGAGATGACATGATATTTGCAAACTAAGCACCCAACAAAAAACCTATTAATGTATGAATTAAGATAAGAACATTTCAAACTAATATCACATTGCCTATGTTTTCTGTTTGACACATAAGGGAAGAATGAAGATGTGACATTATTGCTTTTGACACAATTATGCAGTTCCGAATAGGGTTACGAACTGAACAACTTTTCTTTGCAGTTTTCGAACTATTTTTGCTAGTCAAATGTACAAAAGACACTCTGAACTTGTGTTATTGACTGACACAGTATTTCTCCACATAACTCTTCAAATTATACCAAAAAAGTATTGATTTTAGATGCAAGTTTGTGGACTGTTAAAAATATTGAATTGATTGACGTTAGATATGATAATTTAATGGTAATTATGATACGTTTAAGCGACTTTAGAACTATTTTAATTAGTTATTAATATATATTTTTAAATACCTATAACTTTTGGCTATTTCCCGATAATTTACGTAAATACAATTTACAAAAAAAATTTTGTTTCGTATTCTTGTTTTCTTAAGCTTCTAAAGTTCACATGATGACAGAAGCTTAAGAAGTGAGATATAGAACTCACTCATTTGCATAATCATATAAATTAGACAAAATGATTAGTTCCAACCAGTATAAAAAATGACATCTTACAAACTCTTTTATTTTTACAAGTAGTTAAATTGGCAAGAAAAAAATAAAATCCATAATTACACAACACCATTGTAAGTACTAAGTCCATTTAAGAGATGGGTTAGGAATTTAATTTACTACTTAGTCATGATATACAATAATTTGTACAACAACAAAACAACTATACCATACCTAACAATCCTTCCGATTGAAATGTTTATTTTTCTTAGTTCTTAACAGATTCAATTGAAATCACGAACCAATCTGAGTCAGACCACTATCGAGAACTTAGAAGCACTGGACGATGTTTCGTCCTAGTCTGGAACTCCTCGGTGGTGCACATCCACGACGCTGAACGTGAGACACGAACCTTGGACCTTTGGTCTCGAGCGAGTGCTTAACCCCTGAAACACTGAGCCGGCAGCCAACAGTGTTAATATCAATCAATCCATGATATTGCATGACAATCTTTCATTGTCTTCGGTGGGTAAATGACTCACACCCGACATGCACTGGGCACGACTTATCACTAAAATCGAGGAAATTTCCTCTCAGAACTAGCCATTGGTGAGCACAAAATCGTGGATATGCACTGCTGGGGTGTCTCATACTACAATGAAACGGCCATCCAGTCTTTCCAGGTTATTAATGGTGGTCTAAATTAGATCGGTTCACGATTTTAATCAAATTCAACAATCTCCACAACCCCATAATTAAACATATTTATCAAGAAGTATTTAGCTTTGGTATGGTTTGCATGATTTTTATAATAGCAAACCAGTATATCAGGCAACAATTTTATTTTATTAATTACTTAAGAGAAATCCAATAAAGGAGAATTTCGTCGCAATATTTCCAATTGAAATATAGTTGGCCTACAAGTTTCTCTTTTGGGATATCAAACAAGGAGTAATCTATCGACTAAAATACCAGTCAACTGTTTTATTTTCTAGACGAAAAGTATGAGATAAAAGGAAAGAGGATAATTTGTAAAAAACAAATTGATTTAATTCGAAAAATCCCTAGAACAAATACAGTATATATAGCATACATGTACATAAGTAGGTAGGTAGTGTAAGACAAATGTTCGACGTACAATAAAAAAAAGTTTAAAAAAGAAACTGGTTCTTCCCTATGTGTACACATTAAAAGAAAAAAATGTTAGGGATATTTACAGTCAAGTAAACTATTAAAATATTATGTAAGGCACAAGTGAATTATTTGTGCGTTTATTTTTCCATGTACATATATATAACAATTGTTCAACCAGAACACTTTTAACTAAGCCAGTAAGGATACTATTGTAGTACTTAAAATGATGGAATGTTTAAGGTATAAACAAAGTTGTAAAATGCATGTAATCAATTATTCGGACAAAATAAATAGGTGAAGCATTGAGGAAAGAAGGAAAACAAAGTGGGGAGAGAACACTGAAAAAAAACAAGACAAATTGGCACGATAACACCCTAATAAAAGGCTTAAAATCAGAGTGGTAAACAGTCACTATGCATAAGCCTTTAAAAAACCTGGATAGCAAAACAAGTCAAGGCTGTTATTAATCGCAGTAATATTAGTCGTTATACAAACAGATTTAGTTCTAGTCGGTAAATGCACTAAATTTATTTACAAATACTTAGCAAAAAAAGAAAATGAACCAACCAAACTAGTTTTTTAAATGTTGATCGTAGAAAAAAGCAAGGAAGGAAATACTGTTGACAAAATGCTCCTTAAGAAATTGGGAATAGACTATAACTACTACTGTTATGTGGTGAATTATGGCTAGCCGATGGTGATGGACTGCTACTACCAGATGATTGCACAAAGGATTGTTGTTGAAGTCGACAAGAAGTATCCACACTAGTACCTTTTGGTATTAACCGCATGGTTGTAGCAATATTGGTTATTTTTAGGTTAGTTGACAACTGTCCAGGGTCGAATCTCTTTGAATCCATTGGAGACGATGAAGTAAGCTCACCGGGAACAGGTAAAGACCTGCGTAGAGAAAAGATATGAGAGGAATTATTCGAATAACCCTGATCCCCAAAAAAGACTAGATCTATATCACGTTGTGATGGGGCACTACGACTGAGATTAGATGTATTGAAACATCTAGATGATGAAATGAGACAACCCTGAAATTTGTCGCTTTTTATGTAGCTTCTGTTTAAGCTTTCATTGCTATGTGAGCGCAATAAATTAACAGGTAGACTAGGTTTTCGACAATATGAAAGAAATTTTGAACAACCTGTGGGAGAAACCTGGCTTTTAAATGATTCATTCCCAACAACATTCGCATTACACTTCTGCAGCTGTTCGTATTCAAGCTTTGGTTCTTGAGATATTGGGGTGGAAGGACTAAGCTCTCTCACTCTAGATGAACTAGTTGATGGCAAGTTACTTGGTAAACGAAATGCTCCATGTGCATGCAAAATACTACGATAAACTGGATGACTTCCGTCGGTAGATACTGGCCTTGGGGTCGGTGGTGCGCTTGCATGTGAAGAAAGACGACGCTGAGCAAGCAAAGTTGGTCTTGCGGTACCAACTGTCGATGATGAACGACGAAGTCTAAGAATACTAGCTGGTGAAAGTGTAGTGGTTAATTGGATGGGATGTGGTGGCATAACAGTTGAGCATGGTTCAAATTTCAAAGTTTGTAAACTTGTATAAGATGAAAGAAAAGGTTTGAATTTAAGCATCTGTATGGCAGATTCAGGACCCGGAAGCACATGTCCAGGAACAAAAGACGATGGAGCACGAGAAACAGAAAGTAAAGATCGATACTCTTCTAAGGGTGAAGATATCTCTAGCTTAGACAAACCAGTGCATGGAGACGGTAATAATGGATTAGAAGATTGAGTAGGTGACAATAACGCTGAAACTCTGCTACGTTTTTCTTCAGTTGGGCTTATTCCAGACTCAGGAATTGGTCTAACCGACTCCCCACAGTGTAGCGAACTTTTTCCAACAGATCCTCCTAAAACTCCTGCAAAAGATGAAGTAGCCTCCAAACCAAGGTATGTTGGTCTTTCCCGTTTCTTAGATAATACCTTCGGAGATGTTGGAGTTAAATTTAGTGATAATGATGACGAATGAAGACCAGACTTTAACATAGAAGAGCTTTGCATCTCTGCGGACATGCTTAGAATTGAACACGAACTAGCAGGGCTGTCAAAAGTCGGAGTGCTATCGATTGGAACGGAAGCTTCACTACAACCAGAATCATGAAGTTGATGCTCAAACTCCAACAACTGTCCAAGAAAATTAAAATTAGGAGCAACGCTGTTTCGTCCAGATTTAACAACACTAGAAAATCGATAGAAATGTTAACAATTAAGCAACGGGAGACAATTAATTTAACTTCATTATTATACAATTACATAAACTACTCCTAACTTGACAAGCACAATGGGGTTGTATTATACAATGAGAAAAAAAGTTAAATCTGTATACAATTTGAAATTCTTTTCTAATTCAGCAAAGGTAAAAAATAAACTGTGGCTAAATTGATAAGTTTACGCACAAAGATAAAGTAAATACTATCTATTAAAAAAATAACAAACATTTTATAAATATTATATCTAATTTACAAAAAAAGGTTGAAAAGTGTATATCTTTACTGAGGAAGGAAAGCAACCTGACATGTACCGAGGTTTAAAGTTAACTATCTCGCAAAAAAGAACGGTGTTTCAAAATAATGCGTTTTAACACTGAACGACCATAAAAATTTAGCTCATTGAAATATTCTTTCCTAAATTTACATTTTCACTTCATCCAAGATAACACTTTAGTGTAAGGAGCAGCCAACATTGAGTAACACAGCTAACAATTTTAACCGCTGCAGTTGTCAAATTCTATAAACTAACTTACCCTATCAATGCAAAACTACGTACAGAACTTAAACAACAATTCACCAATGATCTCATCGCACAACACGCACTGGAAATAGAAACTGTATTATTGAGAGACAGGTCTGTCTTCTAAAAGGTAATCAACATAGTTAACATCACGAACAACTTATTTTGATGGTTACCAAGGGAACGTATACGTATTTGTATCAAAATTGTGTGCATTATCAATCTATAAAAGCTGCTACGACACTCCTCTTACTGTAGAAACAATTTGAATCTTTTAATTTACTTACTATAACTATATACAGGCACATAAAATCCATCTAACAACATAAGTAGTGATTATTTTTGACTTGCCTATCAAGATCATCTGGTATTTCGATAATGAAGACAAAATTTAGACGCCCTCTACAAGATGACTTGATAAAAGCACAAATTATTAGCTTTTTATCACAAGTAAAATTTGTCAATGGCAACCTACAGCTTTACATTATTTTTCTATCAAACAATTACTGATTATTACGAGATAAAATGAGTAGAAAAGTAATTTCTACTGAATAAATGGATGGTATGAATCGATGAATGCTATAATACATTAACAAAAAAACTACACATCATACTAGTAATGTCGTACAAATAGATTTAGAAGATAATACTATACTACTTCGATAACACTAAGTTAGTCACGAAACTTTTTAAAAATAATATCATTCGGTCAGCACAAAAAAACTAAGACATCATTTTGCATACAAAATTAAAACTCAACAAAGATGTTAGGTACGCAAGTATACAACAAACTAAAATAGAAGTAAAGCATCTAAATTAAACTTACTCGTATGCTTCATGCATTTTCATTCGACATGAATACATAAGATAGGCAATTGCTAGAGTAGGTGACCGAGATATTCCAGCTGAACAATGAATCAAAACTCGTCCATGGGCTGCTTTAGCAGACTCTGCAAATAAATCGTTTTGAGAAAATATCGTTACAGTGCATTATACTAGTATCCTTTGAAACTGATCGTTTTATAAGTAGCATATATGATTAGTTCTCGAAGTCAAAACAAACTGAAACACGCTAGAGAAGGGAATTAGGGCCGCGAAAGGACGAGAGGTTGGACGTATCATTTTTGCACGCAGAGTTCCGGTTTGAATTGATGTATCCTCAACGCCTCAACCAATAATTGAGAGATTTCATTTACATAAGATATATTGACGATACCTTCATTGTTTGTGAAGAAGATATGGACCTCAATGAGATTTTGAACCGATTCAATTATCGTTGCCGCTTAACTCAATTCACATTGGAGGCAGAGGCGAATGAGGAATTTCATGTTCTTGATATCCAGTTGAAAAAGTCGGGTGGTTCTTTACAGAGATCTGTGTATAGAAAACCGACCTGGAATGGTCAATATACGGATTTCCACAGGTGGGTCCCACTGAGTAGAAAGAGAAACCTAATTCACTCTATATCCTCAAGGATTAGGAGAATATGTTCTGATGACACAATAGATGACGAACTACTTCAACTTCGACAGACACTCATAAAAATGGTTATCCACCTAGATTCGTCGATAGGAACTTAACATCTATACAACATCCTGAGAAAGCACCAACGGTTCAAAATTAAACTCGTTTTATGATAATCGAACTTAAAGGAAATACGGCCGCTGAAATCTTAAATAAATGGATCTCAAAATCTCTGAATAATACCTTCTACATAGCTAAGCTCCTCATTGCCTTCTCAAGGCCACCTACTATTTACGGATGCGTTAAGGATAAACTTCCGCTTTGTGCCACATCGATGTGCATCTATAAATTTATTTGCTTTTGTGGGGCAGGTTACATCGACAGCACAAAGCGATCACTTTCTAAACGCACCTCAGAACATCACCCGGTGTGGTTTTTAAAAGAACGCAAAACAATCACCAGTTCAATACAGTAGCATCTAATTGACTCTGGACACGTCGCTCCGAAGGAGTCTTACTTTAAAATAATCTACACAATTAATGAACTGGGTAGAGGGGAGGTCGAATCAAAGACTTATGTACTGCTCAAGCGTCGGCGATCCACCGATTCAAGTCCGAATTCCGCGTGCACATCCTTCCTTAGCCTAATTTCCTTCCGTAGTATGTTTTAGTTTTCCTTAACTAGTGTTTTATATATCGGATTCCTGGTCCAAAACGAAAAATGTGACCAGATCACCAGTCACTTTGGTTGTGAGCAACGCCTTACAAAGTCCTACGGTTTATAGAACCCCTAACTAGGTAGCAGTGATCCGGCAACAGATACTGACACAATACAACTACTATTTTCTCTGCGGTTACATACCATAAACTGGTTACCCTTCCATTTCCCAAACTTAGCAGAATTTAATATTGGAATCCGAATTCCAGAATATGTAAAATCAAAAGTGTTTCAAATGAATTATCTGACTAAATAAGGGTCTGCATTATTTCTCAATTTATCATCGCTTATATCGTGTCGTCATCGGGATCGAGTAGGGGTTCAGAAGAAAAGGTAAGGTTTAAAAAGTTATAGCTCTCTTAGAATATAAATTCTGTCTGCCACAATAGTATTATCTTACACATCGAAATAAATACTCAAATCCAACTACCTCTATTGACCAACCACTAAGGATGAGAAGAGGTACAAACTACTGTAAAATTTATGAAAGTACTTATAACAAAGTAAACAGGAGAATGGTAAGGACGAAAGCAACATGAGACAGTAGCTTTCGAGTTTTCAGTCAGTCAGTCAGCTACAACGTAGGACCAGGCACATCTATGCATCGAGTTTTACTCAATAGTTAGAGTATGTCTTTTAAACAGCTCTAAGCAAACTGTTGTGGTAAACGTAAGCTAAGATATTGGTATTTACTTATTAGACCAAAAAAAATGTACAACCATATTAAGGAAAATCAGGAGAAATATCTTATTTTATGGATCTCAACATATATATTACATTATTACATTCGTTATGATTATTGGAAACTATAATCATGGTTAGTATCTCGGAAACTCAAAGACCAACCCACAATGGGTGGACCAATGTTTAAACATACAACTTACATCAGCTGATATCTGGATGCCTAAGCCAATAAACTAGAGCTCCACAGTTAGTAACATACCATTTACCATTCTTTTTAATAGTTACTAAGTTGTTAAATTGTACACACAAAGAAAATAATAAGCAACATAGTTTTTTAAATTAGTTTTCATTAAGGATAAAGACATAAACAATTAAAGAATTACCAATAAATGCAAAAGCATCTTTGAAGTATGGTGTCATGAGATCAGTATAATTGTCGTTCACAGGAATTTGATAAAAATTTTGACTGGGAATATGTGAAGGAATACTGCCTTCAAGAGATACATTAAGAATATGAGTAATTCCATAACGTTTACAAATAGTTGAAGAATTAGCATCTTCCTGACTTCCTAATATTAAATGTGGCAGAATTGGAGACGGACGAGTTAATGTACTACCAGTATTATCAACTTTCATTTCTATAATCGATCTTGAACGATTATCCACAGGTACATCAGGACTAAAATTATTTGGAAATAAAGTGATAAAAAGCATTGTTTGTTTTCGTTGATAAAACTAAAACCATGGAAGTCGAAATGATTAAAACTGATGTTGAGTTTCCTGACTGATATAAATTTACTGTTAACTGAAAATAAATTTCTTCGAATGAACTAACGTATATTCTCAAAATAAAAAAAAAACTTAATACGTCTGATGCTATGGAATTTTAATGTTTTGGAATCAATGCACATAACTTAAAAGCAACGAGTACTTTAGAGACGATTTCTGCACACAGTATGGGGACAGAGTTGAAAAAAGTATTGGTGGCACAGGTTTTACTAAATCGATTGATAAATTCCCTGATAAGATATGAAAAGAGATGTAAGAAAATCGAAATACCAAAAGTATAAAAGATACAACAATATAATGTGATCAAGTGGATGGAAATGGAAATCAGAAAGGATTCTATTAATAACAAACGAATTTACAACAAACTCGACTGCTCTGTCAGTACTTTAGATCTCATTGAGCCCCAGGAATATCAGATTACACCGAACCTATAACGGAGAAGAGCCATTACTACGTATAAAAGTAATATTGACTAATTTATTCATTAAATTAAGTAACGATAACGATCAAAACCTGGAGTAGAGAGGTTTTCAACTCATTAATCGACAGACTAAAATGTTGATTCATGATTTAACTACTTAATATTGCCTAATATTTTGATATCCTGAGTAGTATGATTATCAGATAGGTATGTATAACTGAAACGTAGTGGTTCGTATGATGCGAATACGCCACTTAATCTAATCTCTTACACCCAACCAATAATTTGGTGATCTAGTTTGATGCAATCAATCACGTGATTCCGGCCCAAACTAAAATAATAGATAAAACACTAACTGCTGTGTCATTAATGAGTCTTGAGAAGCTGAAATATTATACTCCAACTAAATTTTTCGTAAAATAAATGGTTGGGTTGACAAGAAATTGACATGGTTATCAAAAATAAGAGATTGCATGGAAAAAAAGACAAATGTTGCATAATTTTCAGTGAAAGAGAATGAAGATCTGTATTATTAGGAGCATACAAATGGCCGACATTTTGGTCTGTTTAATAAGGCCTGAAATGCTTTTATAAACAAATAAAAAGATCCATATTATTGTTTATAATGAGATCGTTAATCGAAATTAATGGTTGAACGAAATTTTCAACAAAGTAAAAATTTACTGATCTAGAAACAAATGGAGGTACAAAACAGAGGTTATACCTTAATGTTCTGGAAATCCCACCTGAAAACTGTTCCTTCGATGGAATTTGGAAAGAAGATGGAGTAGACTTCGATGAAATTGAGGATATTGATGAAATAGAAGTTGCATGAGTGGACGTAGCCGATGCAGATAAAATGTCATATTCGGATGCCGAGATTTTAGAAAAGTCACTAGAAGATGAATAACCTAAGCAGGCATCTAGTATTTGTTCTAATCGGCAGTCACACTGGTGATATTCAGCAAAATCTTCACCCGCAACTTTTTCTGTATTAATCCAGCATAATTCTGGAAATGATGCTTGAAACCCCAAAAATCCTCCTATGTAATGGGATAAGAGAATACAAATTATTTTATTATTTATTTTAAGACATAGATATTGGTACAAGGAGGCACCAAATACATATGCGCCACACAAATCTCATTCGATATGTGTGAGGGCCGTGATACTGCTCGGGTGCCCAAACCGAAGCAGGTGGTTCTCTTAGGGAGCCACACCCCGAGCCTTCGACCTGAAGGTCTGATCCACAAGGCAGTGGAGCAACGTCAGGAGATGCAGTCCCATGGAAGCCGGTGACCAACAATTGGTTCATACGCCATTTGTTCCCTCAGGATACTGGAGCCCATGTGCACCATTGGTTTGGAATCCGATTAAAGCGCCGGACATTCGGTTTTCGTCCTCTCATTTTCGTAAACAACACCCGCACCACGAGAAGGCAGTGAGTAGGACTTCCCTGGCAGAGGCTATATACGCGTGGCCATGTGAGAGCATTTCGAGAGGGAGAGCGGACTCTCCTCACTCTTGGCTGTACCTGGGCATTTAGGTACTGTATCTGCAACAGAAAATACAGATGTTTGATTTAAAACTACTCTACCAAGAGTTATGATTGCCAGATGGAGTAGATTCAGCCACACAATAATGGTGTTAATGTGGACCGAAAAAATACCGACGTAGTTTCTGATAAGAGGCGAAGAAACCAAGTACTTATCACGTTTAATATTTTCTTCATACCTTATTACTAGATATCACGACCGAAAAAGGCTATACTACGTAACGATAGTCAGTAAAAGTGTACAGATATCCCAGAAACTTATGCAATAGATACCTGAAGAAAAACAAATCTAAAAGTTGTTTTTTTACTCACCTTTAAGGAGAAAGACGACTGGAAATTTTAGAGTCAATTGCGTCAATAAAGAAAACAAGAAGCATCCAGGTATTAGGTTCAATACAGAATCGATAAACTCATCGTAGACAACAATTGGTAACTTTCTTAACTCTGTAGGGTTTTCCAAGTTTGTCAGTTTACATAAAAGTAAATCTAACGGGACCTTTATTCGAAGATGTCTGGATATACGTAAACTACCAACCTGATTTTGAGAAAACTTTCTCTGAAATGCCCTGTTACCACCTATATTTATAGCAGTATGTATGTGACTGGTATTATATACCATAAACGAACGCGAATCCAGTAAGATAACCTACACTAATAAATAAGTAATCGCGAATACCTTTTGATTGAGTCGTATAGCTTCATAAATACTGGACGCTTCTGTATATATCACCTTTCTTTCCAATGCACCTAGGGCGTCCATGGAAAGAGCAGGGGGAAAGTTGTCAAAGTGCCATATCCCAGAACAAGGTGTATTTTTTCAAATGCACTACCCCCAACCCATTCAAACACCGCGGGCTAGAGTACATGAAATCACTCGGTTATAAAAAAAATAGTAGGTCATTTAAGCTGCAATAATCCTCACATTCAGTATTTCTGTGAAGGTCCAGCTTTTCCATAAAATTCTTCACTGATTATCTTAACATTATTTGTTTTTGTAAGGCCTTCCAGTGGCTGACCACTCGGTGCGATAAATTGGATCACCTCAAGTTGTTTGATCTTTTCTGACGAATTCACAAGTGATAAATCATGAAAGCAGCAAAAAAACAAGACGTTTAAAAATCCCAATAATTAACTAAATTCAGTGGTGCCAATTCAAGATTTTTAAGTGTTATTCAATAACGAGAATATATTTACTCAGTGGTCGCTCTTCATGGGGAAGATTTGAAGGACCTGTCATCAAAATTGTTCTGGTTTATTTGACACGAATAAACATTTATTAATCTCTGGTAGAATACGAAAAGGCTAACTTCATACAGTATTCTGGGTGTGGTCTCACATACGTGGGTATGAAATCGGAATCATTTCTTCGTTGAATACTCTGCAAAATGACATCGGCAGGCAAAAATTTCAGCAATAGTTACATAGCACCGTGCAGCTTTTTAATTCATAGCTTGAAGATACTCAAAGATCCCCCTCTTCCTGAACTTTGGGATGTGGATTTGTTCCTGTGACCATGCTATTTATAAATGTCCACAATTTTTAGCGCTCTCAGTTCAGGACCGATGGTCTCACGCAAAAAGCGGTGGTATCTGTTTGTCTGTCTGAGACGAGGACATAAGGTTAGCGAATGTAAGATGACAAGGCGCTGTAACGTTGATAGTTGTGAGAAGAGACATCAATCCCTGCTGCACACCGACTCGACAAGCAACGACGTAAATGATAAGCCTAGTACTCAGAATTGTTGTGGATTTACTAAATCCCTAAGTAGGAATGATTCCCGTACGGCTGAGATTGAGAAATGCCGAAATTGTGGGTTATGCTTTGCTGGATAACGGTTCTGATGTGACAATGATAAAATCGAACTGTTTGAAGTCTCTCGGGCTGAAGGAAGACCAAGCGTGGTTGAAACTGTGTGTGGTAATAGATCAATGACGGTCACAAAGACTCCTTTTGAGGCATATTCTTTAGATCGGTCTGAACACGTTACGATTGAAGGAGCCCTGACTATGGCAGGTATACCAGGTCATAAGCCAACGAAGTTGGCAGTGAGCAACCTGGTTAGGTGGCCGCATTTAAGGGATGTACCGACAGATAGCCTAGACTCTGAAGAAGTTCTACTGTTGATTGGTTGTGACGTGCCAGAAGCACATTGGGTGTTAGACCAGCGGTTGGGTAGAAGGAAGAACCCGTACGCTGTGAAAACGTTGCTGGGGTGGACGGTCCCTGGACCTGCATCATACCCAGAATATAAGAAAAGAGTTGTTAATCATACCAGTAAAGTACAGACTTTGGAGAACGAAATACGTAAGCTTTATGACGTAGAGTTTTCTGATGTTTACTCAAGTGATAAATCAGTGTCAGTAGAAGACAAGGCGGCTATAAGGATTGTGGAAGGGGGCACGCGCTTTGACAATGGTCATTTTGTGGTTCCTATACCATGGAAAAGGAATCCAAATATGAAAGTGAAGAATTATGGAGTAGCAAACAGTAGATTACAGGGTTTGAGGCGTAAGTTGTTGAAGGATGACAGTCTGCACATCAGGTATACCAAAAGTATTGAAAGTAATTTTACTAAGGGCTATGCAGAGGAGGTCCCTGAAATACAACTGCAACCTAATTATCGCCCCCGGTGGTATTTACCTCATCATGCAGTGTTAAATCCGAAAAAGCCAGAAGAACTTAGAGTGGTCCTTGATTGTGCAGCCAAGTTTGCAGGTGTTTCCCTAAATGATATGATCTATCAAGGACCTGACACCACTGCTGAGCTAGTGTGTATATTATTGCATTTTTGTAAGGAAGCGGTTGCAATCTCTGCAGATGTTGAGGAAATGTTCATGCAAGTGAAGGTCCCTGAGTATGATCGAGGAGCTTTAGGATTTCTGTGGTGGCAGGAGGGAGACATGCCGAGGTAACCATCCGAATTTCAAATGACATTTCATCCATTTGGTCCCACATCACCGCCGTTTTGAGCGAACTTTGCCTTGAATAAGACGGCCCAAATATTCTCTGACGGTTATGATGGTTATGCCGTAGATGCTGTCAAGGATAATTTCTATGTTGACGACTGCTTGATATCTTTTTCCACTTGGGATCAAGCAAACGGTTTCATCAAGCAGATAAGTGAATTATTATGTAGAGGAGGTTTTAAACTAAAGAAATGGGTCACCAACTCGGAGGAAGTAAGGACCATCTTGCCTAATGTATGTAAAGAAGAGTCTTTGATAGAAATATCGACGAGCTAAGATACTGCTCATCGAACTCTGGGCGTAGGATGGGATTTCAAACAAGATGTATCTAGGTTTTACTTTGATGCACCAGAAAGGCCTCTGACCAGTTTCTTCTCTGTTCGATCCTCTGGGTCTAATTGCTCCAGTCTGTCTTACTGCCAAACTGCTCTTGCAAAAATTATGTAAGTCACAAATAGGCTGGGACCAGCCTCTCAACGAGCCATACATGTCCGCGTGGCTAAATTGGGTAAATTTTATGCGTCTGATAGGTCATGTTACGGTAGCTCGGGGTATCAAGAAGAGAATCGACATTTGTTCAGTGATGCTTCAGAGATTGGTTATGGAGCAGTTGCGTACTCAGGGGTCAGTTATTTGAAGGAACCACCATACTGTATCTTGTTGTACAGCAAGTCTAGGGTAGTACCTATCAAACAAGTCACTACACCGAGGCTTGAGATGGCGGCAGTGGTGTTAAGTGTGAGGCTTAGTGAAGTATTACGGGGAAGTCTGCCTAATTTTTTCTGCAAAGTAAACTTCTATACAGAACCAATATCGCACTTATATAGCCAACCGCCTCGCTGTGGTGCACCAGTATACGAAGGTTGAACAATGGAGTTATGTAAAGTCGTCACAGAATCCAGCTGACTGGACCTCGAGAGGTATACAAAACATGAATGATCTTGAATCTTGGTTCAAATGTCCCACTTAGTGCATGACGAGTTTTGTATGACAATCACTGACGATAGTGAGTTTAGAAAAACTGCTGTGGTTAACTTGAGTAGTATGAAGTACAACATGTCACCTATTCTCTCTTATTATTCCGAGTGGTTGAAATTAGTCAGGGCCGTAGCCTGGCTTAGAAGGTTCATAGAATTCCTGGTGGTACTTCGTTCACCGAGTCGTGAAGGATCCGTTCATCTAGGATGTTTAAAGGTCAAAGAGCTTGATATCGCTAAGCGTAAAATTTTAATGATGGTTCAGAAGGAAGTGTATGGAGAATTACTTAGTGAATTTAAAAACAGCAGAAAAGTAGTTTGTCACAATGATCTGAAGGGTTTATCACAGATAATGCTTGGTGGGTTACTCTGCGTTAGAGGTTGACTAAGTTACTCAGATTTCCCAAATGCCTTTAAACATCCAATAATTTTATCCAGTCGACACTTAGTGACGTAAATGATAGTTAGACATTGTCATAAGAAACAACGGCACACAGGAACGCCCCAAGTACTGGCCACGATTCGAAAAAGCTATTGGATAATAAAAGGAACCAGCACGGTTAGGAGAGTGATAGGAAAGTGTGTGACGTGCCGACTGTTTACGATGAATACAGGACAACAATTGATGGCGCCGCTTCCAGCTTGTAGAATTCAACAAGGCTGGTATAGCTTCTCAGCGGTAGGAGTTGACTACTTTGGACTCCTTTTAGTCAAACGAGGAAGATCACTAGAAAAAAGATATGGATGTGTATTTACTTGTTTGCAAATCCGAGCAGTACATGTTGAAATGACATATAGTGTGAGTACTGATTCATTTATAATGTCCTTATTACGTTTTATTGGAAGAAGAAAGAAACCTGAAGAAATTTACAGTGACAATGGGTCAAACTTCGTGGGTGCAGTCTCTGAATTAAGGAGCTTCGTGCAACAGTTGAATCAGCAGAAGATAAATAAGGAACTGTCAGCTAGGCAGATTCAGTGACATTTTAACCCGCCCTCATCCAGCCACAGGGGTGGAGTATGGGAAAGGATGGTTAAGTCTATACGCCGACTGTTATTTTTGATAACTAGAGAGCAGACTTTAACCGATGAGACCTTAGGCACTTACTTGGTTGAAATTGAAAGGATATTGAACGACCGACCCTTAACTTCGGTTGTCCAAGATGCTAACGATAAATTAGCCTTATCGCCAAATAGTTTGTTATTATTGAGAGAATGTGACGGAATAGTCGAAGAAGGTTGTATCAGAGGTTAATACGACAAACGTTGGAAACAGGTTAATCATCTTGCTAATGTGTTTTGGAAAAGGTGGTTAAGAGAATATTTACCGTCTCGACAAAAACGTCAAAAATGGTTAGTTGAACACCGCAATTTTCAGAAAGGAGATATAATGATAGTGGCTTCGGACATATCGATCCGTGGAAAGTGGCCCTTAGGAGTAGTTGAAGATTGTGAAATAGATGACGACGGAAGAGTTAGGACAGTTGTTGTTCGTACGAATAGTGGATTAGTTAGAAGGGATATACGTGAGGTATGCCTCCTTGAAGGCTCGAATCAGTTCCTCGTATTATCAATGTAGGTAGGTCGAGCAGGCGTACTGTTGTAAGTCCTACTCGTTCCTATAATGTGATATGTTATATAATGAACCATGACCATAGGCATCAAGGTAGCTTGTGTGGTATGGAGGGATTTTGGGGGCCGGTGTAAGATCCGTTTTGAATGTTTTATGTGTGTGTGAAAATCCCTTCATGTATGTGTAGTGACTCACATTTATCACGAGAACACGACTGGTTTAATAAAAACAATTATTATTATAACCAACTGTACCAGTGTTTGTTTTAATTTGCTTTTGTTTGACTGTGCTAATGACAGCTATATTGTGCTTCCATTCTGATT